AAACTGAAACATCATACGTACTATCCCTTTCGTGCATTTTGTATGTTGCATAATGATGCCAGCAACAGACGGGTTGCACCTTGTGCTATTTTGCACGGCGAGAGTCAGCAACGAGGTGAGTCAAGGCGAACTGCAGACGTAAGAGAAGCTCGTATCAGACAGCTAGGCCTTAACTCTCGCCCATTCTGGTATGACAGCATCAAAACAACTCGCAGCCATTGTTTTTAGAAAGTCCACGATTACTATGCATATCTCAGCTGATTGCGCTGAAGCAGCTCAGAGCCAGTTGAATGAAATAATCGCACCCTAGCTACCTGAAATGGTCCCCTAGACGACTAGAAGCAAGGGACTGTGTCGTTACGCCGCTTCAATCCGCTGTCAAAACAGAAAGTGATGTTACTGTTAGCGGCGAGATCGATAACTAGCAATATGCTAGAAGACCTATGAGACCAGGTTTATTTTATGTATAAATATGCCTATGGATTGTGGCATATCTGCAGGTGTCTGAACGGGTTCTTGTTCGGCTCTGCGAAGTGATGCGGTTCCGCATCCATGCAACACAAGTGCTCAAATGCCATGGAGGCGTGGCCTGCTGAAATGGTTCCCTGGCCAATCAGAAGCAAGTGGACGGTGCTATTACGCCGCTTCAATCCGGTATCAGAAGAGAAAGTGATAATAAAGCGGCGGTGTCGATAACTAACAGTATGCTAGAAAACCCATAAGATAGGGTTCATTTTTTATGTATAAAAAGTAATCTGTGAAGAGAAATGTTTTTATTTTCGGCATTCGAATCAATCAGCTCCAAAGGTCGAAACCGATCTCCTGTCAGTGCGCTCTCCACCTCTAGAGAGACGAAGAGGATGATGACAAGACAATAATCGCAATAGGGATAACACGTGCGTGTTTGACAGAGCTTCATTATCAGTTCCATGCCTCACCAGCGAGCATTACGGCGTATAGGTATAAATATTACAGTAAGCAGTAACTTAATGAGTAAAAAAAGTCTCCTACCTTGAAAAACCCAGCAACCGCTGCGGCGCCACTTTTATCACGTGACATTCCCCACATGTTTCCGTTCGTTTTGATGTCTAAACCTCCAGCATCAAGCGTGACGCCCTGAAATTGCCCGGGTAATAAAATATGTATATAAGTTTTTACAAATAAAGTATGCCAATATGGTGAGATCACAACTGACCAGGATGCTAGAGGAAAGACTCCTTGGACAGAATCGCGGGGCAAAACCAAATGGAAGTGGTATAGAGGCAAATCGTGGATCAAATGGCTCATCATATAAATGTCATGACACTGTCATAGTTTCGAATCTATTCCATGAAGTTTACCAAATTGGCGAATGGCACTTTACCCAATTGGCGAATTGGAACCGTTGGTAAAGCCTCCTGAAGCAGCTGTCTTTGCCATCGACAAAATAGGATGCACTGAACATGAATGAAAGAGTGAGCAAGATAGGTAACTGCTTTGTTTGGAAATCTTCTGGGGAGTTATCATGTCTGACTTCCATGGAAATAAATTTTGTGAAAGTCCCGTGATATTTAACTAACGATTATTGCTATCTGTCGGAGACAGAGTTTCGCTACCCCGTAGGATGTTAGCCATCAGAGCTTTTGTGTATCTCTGTTAACTTATCGTCACTTGCTACCTCGGGGGTGCCAGTTCGTCACTGCCAATGTCAATGGGCCATTTCTAAACATGCAGTCTCTTTTTTCTTTCTTTTAAGACAAATATTATCCCGCATTCTAGCATGTCTTCCTATTATTTCATTTTGCAACTTCTCCTCCTCGTGAAGACCCAAACCTGATAGAAATTATGAGCCTGTAATAAAACTGAGATTCATGCTTTAACTCCTCCAGTGCTCCATTCGTTTCTTCTATTGATTTTTTAAAATTTATTTCCGGTTTCACGTTGTGCAGATTTAGTCATCCATCAGGCTGGTCAATGCGATTTGTAGTCGTACGAGGCAGGCATCGAAAGACATGACCGCATGCCTTGTATGCTCTGGTGTGAAAGCATCACAACATCGTGCTCTCCAGTAC